TGTATGGAATTGTGACAACCTGCCAGAATCTCAACAAGATTCATGCTGTTAAAGCATATTAAAATTATGCGTTTGAACATATTCACGTCGCTTCGCGACGGCAACCGCCCGCACCGCATCGTAACTGCCAATGATGTCGGCCATTGAGACCAAAAACATCCGAAAGTACTGATTGTCGGAAAAAAAAAACGCGAAGAATTTGATAGCCATGTATAGCGGACCAACGCAGTTCAAAAAATAACGAAAAACATGAAAAAACGGCGAAATTGCTGTTATTTACAGTGTTTTTGCGCGGTGAGAAGCAGAAACCACTGCAAATACCATGGTTTTTGAGGGTCAGGTGGCCAAAAACACTGTAATTTACAGTGTTTTTTTAACCAACGTCAAAAAACACTGGTATTTACGATGTTTTCATTCACACCGTAACATAAAACAGCGTAATTTACGAGGTTTTTGGAAGTTTTGAAGCTAGCCGTCAAGCATGCAGAAAACAGAAAAACACTGTAAAAACCAGTGTTTCTGCTATCACAAAACGACGAAAATCAGTCCGAAAACGGGTCCAAAAACTCAAAAATCCGCCTCCGGGCCAGGCCACCTGCGGAACCGCAAAAAAAGATGTTGCAAACCAAAAAATTGAGGTCAAAAAGTTGAAAAACACGGTTTTTTTTCACTTTTCGCTTGCCGATTTTGGACGGGCGCGTTCACGAACAGGTGTCTTCCGTACTGTTTTTTACAGTGTTTTTTGAAGGCGAGCGTCACGACCTATCAAAAACAGGAGGTTTTGGCCGGAAAATGGCCCCCCCCCCCAGGTAAACCTGTAACCTTTTACGAGTGCTTTCCGGACGATCACGCCCCAGCACCTTCGGTGCGGGCGGATTTGGAAGCATCCCATTTTCTTCAAACCGTTCTTGCCTCTGGGAGCCAAGAAGGTTGCAACATTTGGATGAGATTTTGTCCTTGGGCAGGTGCAAACTGATACAAATGCAGTCCTGCAGTCAGAGCTTCAAGTGCCAGGGGCCAAGTGAAAAGAGACATAGCATGCATGTTCTCTTTGCTGGGAACAGCAGTAAATCCAAGATTTCATACTCGTTTTGTATAATTTTGTTCCCCAAACAGTGGCAAAATACAAGGGGTTGAATCGGGTTCCCCTGAATTTTGTGGTCAGGGTGCTTTTCTCCCAATCTCCCAACATCCTTTCCAGTATGTTGGCTCCCAATATGACTGAAAAAAATATCTTGACTGCCTCTTGCTATTTGATCGATCTGGGCTTAGCGGTGCTTCGCGTTGTCGCCTCGCCAATCCAGGTCTCGAAAGGAGCTAGCCGAGTGCCAAGAGGAGGCAAATGTGATGAGGCACAGCCGATTTTGCAGAGCGTGACATATTTTTTTTGGCTACTATATTATTTCACTCATGATAGGGGTTTAACATGGTTTAACCAACTATGGTGGGTTTCCTTTTCCGTTCAAGCACACTATAATAAGCTCCATCATAATTGTAGTTGGTTAAATCCCCATTGTAGTGCTTCTTGGAAGACTTCTACCCAACGTCCTGTCTTTCCTGTCCATAGGCCATGCACACGACACAGCTACTTGCGGCTAAATCACAGCCGCCAGGGTGCAATTGGACGCCTTGGCAGAGATGCGAAGCGGCCAGGCAGGGGATGAAACCCATGATCAAAGCTGGGAAGCAGGGGCATTTAGACTTGGTAAAAGCATGTAAAAGCTAGATTACTCTCAACAACGCAGCCACCACATTGGTGCATTGGTTTTGTGCTGACCATTGAAACCAGGTTGTCAAGATTCCGAAGCTGACTAGCACGCTGTGTCGCTTGAAAAAGCGTTGTTTGGAGCTGGTGTTTCACATGAACGGCACCTCTTGAGGTACCCTGCAGAGATTGCCTCAGTGTTTTCGCAGACTGGCTTAAGGCTGGAAACTGCATTTGTCATTACATGGATGTGCTTTGGCACGGTTCGTAAAGCCTGTTTCTATATATATATATATGTATTTATGACAGCATGAACTGACTGAGTTCTGTTCATGCAAGCCCAGACATAATCAATCCAATAACCCAAGCTACCTGGCAAAAAACACACTGACACTTCACCTCCAAAAACCCCGTTTCTTCTCCATGGTTTTTCTTGTCTGGACATGCATGTTGACAGCTTCGTTTTGCCGATGAAGATCCCAACACGGAGTCCTTGCCTTGGTTGCGAGGCCTCGTTGAACGATATGGCTGTGCAGATCCCTATGCAGCTACAGCCCCTTGACTTCTCTAAAGTATGGCGTTTAAAGAAAAACGGATGCTTGGTAAAGTCGAGAGGTTCTGAAGCAGTTCTAGCATTTCCAGTTAAAGTTTCCGGCCATATCTATTTTCGATCAACTTTGGCTCAAGTGCTTTTCTGAATTTCTAAGAGCAGTGCATGCCATGCATCGATCCAAATCCTGGGAGTCGTTCACTCGAAGCTTCAAGGCTGTGCCACAGGCCGATAAGCTGCACGACAAGCATTTCTATTTCTTCGTGATGACGGTGGAACGGAATCCTTCCAGTTTCAAGCACTTCATTGATCGAATTCGCAAGAAGAGTTTCCCCAAGGATGACATGGAGGATTGCTATGACTATGGAGCGCTGAGTGGTGAAGTTCGTGCATCCAGGAGATGCTGCATGATGAATTTCTCATCGCCACAAGCACAACGCCGTGGGGTCCGTGTCAGGGTGTGTCCGAGCTACACCGTGAGCTTGTGATGGCGAAGTGGTAGACTTTGGACCACCTTGGCAATCCATGGCATTTTTATAGCATGAATATGCATGAATCCAGAATTCACAAGATTCGGACAATTATGTTTGATCTGACAGGTTTGGTACTGCACCGTGAACTCTGGTATTTTTGGTCATTCCAAAGGAGCTACAGCTACTTTTCATGCGTAATATATATATATATATTATATATATAATATATATATATATATATAAATATTATATCATCCTATAGTCGTCAAGAACAATAGAGAACTTGGGTGGAAGATGTGACTCACCGTAAATTTATTTCAATGCATTTCATCTTCGGAATGGTCCTGATTGCCAAACCCTGCTTTAGCATCATGTCACCAATATATCATCTCTTTTTCATGGCATGGCGCTTCCAAAAAAAGATCTCGATGTTTCAACCACTGAAAGCTGGTTTTGCGCCTGGCTGCAAAGCAGCAAGTTCATCGGTGAATCTTCAGTCGTCAAAAGAGGTCAAACAAAGCTGTCGACTGATTTGTCGTGATTGGTGACTGGACTCTGAGTTTCTTGCTGTTTATGAACCCTCCAACTGGCCGTGTATAGATCGCCCTCGTACCCCCGGCAGAGGATCAAACATTTTTCAATCATGACTGATGTTGATGAATGCATCTCCTCTACTTGTCGCATCAGCCTTCCCCATCCAGGTTTCAAGTTTGGTTTTCTTTCTGGATGTTTCAGATTCCCAGCTGGTTCCGCGCATGCCAAGTTGCTAAGGGTGATCCACAACCCAAAGCAACAACAAGCACTGCAACGTCGGCTTGATAGTTCACGGAGACTGCGGGGAGGGGGCGGCCGAGGCTCAGATCTTTGGATATCTTGTGGACTCTCTGGAAACAAGGTCCTAAGGTGAATGACTGCAGTAGCTGAGGGGAACATCACCAGGGTTACCCCAGACTTCAAAAGCTCGGAATGTGGCGATAGATCTCTCTGACTTGGCCTGACTTGGCCTGACATGCTGGATGCCGAAGCTAGTGACTTATGTTTGCAAAAGATGACCTCATCGCACCACAGGAGGAAGCCATCCTTGAGGAAAGCTCCAACTTCAACAAGTGCTGCGCCCAGAACCGGGGGCAGTGTTGGTCCGGAGCTGGTTCAGATTTCTTTGCGAAAGCATTATATAGATGAATACTCATTGTTTCTTGTTACAAACACAGCCTTCCAAAGAGTACGCGTTTTGTACTTAGTTGTCAATTTGACCATTACTCTTGATACAGGATGCAAGAGTAGTCTACCTGTGCTTGTTGATACCACCCTGTTTGATCCTGAGAAAGTCTACGTGAATACAAGCACCCAAAGAAGCACGTGGGATGTCAGGATGCCATGGGATGTCAAGCTCATCAGCTGCCTGAGGTTCTGCAGGCTTTCCTGGCTCCACCGATAGCACAGGGAAGGATTCCCGGATATATAGCTTATCATAGCTTGCTTTGAGTGAGCAACGCAGATATTTGCAACACAGAGTTTCGTGTCAAGTGACTTTTCTGTGGTGTCACAGTATGTCACAGTATGTCACAATAGCACAGTCGCCCGGGTATGCTCAACCAAAGCTGTGAGTAGTGCAACTTTCCTCCAGGCCACAGATCAGGTTTATACTATACATATTTATAAAGTGAATCAGCATCAATATTCATGGTTAGTTTCATTCCAAGGCCTCCAGTAGGGACAAACTCGGATAAAGCTTGGCCAACGGAGGAAAGGATTTTCCACGGAATACACGATTTTAGTCACTCTAGTCATCTATAGTAATCTCTAGTCACTCTAGCACTGAATGGAGCGGAAAAAGTGAGGTCTCAGAGTCACCGCTTATTGAGGGCTTGAAATTCTGATCCTGCCACTCATCGGTATCCACAGCCATAAAAAGTCATTTTGTCACTGTCACAACCATAGCACACACCGTGGTTGATGCTTTGAAGAAAAAGTTGTCATCAATGATTGCTTCCAAATCACAGACACCTTCTCTCAAAGAATCTCAGACTTGACTTAGTGCCGAAGTTGTGAAACAAAGGTGGTTGTCAACTGCATCTCGGTTCTGTTTAAAGTTTAGCTTCTTCGTAGACTTAGGTCTCCTTGTCCGATTTGGAAAGTGGTTTCCCAGCGGCTTGTTGAGACTCACTGACTCTATTGACATATCTTGACATTGCATCGAAGAATCTAAGTTGTTGGTTCCCATGGACTGCATAGATCGCAGAAGTGTTTTAGCAGTTTCAAAGGAGTCGTAGACCAACAGGAGAGTCTCTGCACGCAGTTGCAGCAGCTTCCAAAGACGGAAGACTTATGGCCATCCGTGAGATTTCATCGGAGGATGCCTCAAAGTATGATGATGGTGCAACGGTGCTTGTTTTGAAGGACACCTTTGGAAAGCTGCGCCAAGGAGGCACTTTCCTCAACAGCCTGGCTTCGGAGGTTGCTTACCAACGAAACTGTCGCGGAGTGGTGACTCGATCGAGAGCTCCGTTCGCGCAGATTCGCAGGGAACTGCCGTTTTCACATCACGAGGATAGCATCCTGTTGATGGATGAGAACATTTTACTTGGAGCCGACGGTATTTTAGATGAGGCGCCCAGCTACCTCCAGGAAGATTGGTTTCACCATTTCCCGGAGATGCTGCGGCCTTCGCGCTTGTGCCTGATCTTGGGTGGCACCGGATCAAGATCAGATCTGCATGCAGATCCGCTCTCCTGGACAGGTTGGAACTGTTTGCTGCAAGGCTCAAAGGCTTGGAGATTCTATTGCCACGAACATGAAAGGTCTGAGCCTTTCCAGAGCAGCCTGCGACCCTTCGGGATCAAATCCCAGGACTCGAAGGAAGTTGAGCTTTGCTCCATCGGTAGCAGCTTTGTATCTGAAGTGGACACTTTCGCGACAGGAGCGGTGCACAGGCCTTTCAGCCTGGGAGCAGATTTGTCACGGTTCCCAAAGGTATCTAATGCAACACGACCCTTGGAATATTTGCAGAAAGCCGGTGAGACGCTGATCTTTCCTGGACATTGGTGGCATCAAACCTATCACTTGGGTGCGACGGTGGGCCTTGCCGGACAACTCCTAAACCGTCAGAATCTGAGGCGTGTCATGGGTCATGTGATTGACTGGTGCGGCCTGGAAGTTGATGAAGGTATCTGGCAAAAGTCACCTCAGGAGGTAATAACAGAGGTGCTGGGAGATGCCATCGATTCGATGTGACCAATGTGACCTGATCGGCCAGTAGCAAGTTGGACAAGCCGAAGTCCTTAAACAGTTCCCGTGTTATGCCGCCTGGGGTTCCTAGAGACGTCAACTCTATGGCCCCCAAAGTGGAACTCGGAATCGCACATTGCTGCTACCAGAGTGCTCCCAGTGAAAAGCTCAGAACCAAAGCCAGTTTCTGATGTGGTGGCGCACTTCGTCAAATTGGTGAATGATGTGAACATTTCAGAGATCCCTTGCCCACTGACATTCTTTTGAGCAAGGCACAGCGACAAAAGATGGCTGGGCTTGAAATTGCAGATCCGCCGCTCCCATTCCCACCCTTGGCAGCTTGGTCTGAAAAGTATCCGACGTGTCCGGTTTTGGTTCAAGGCTTCAGAAGCCAGTCGCGGGCAGTTCAAAGCGCAAGTATTTTCCTGCTATGGCCAGCCCAAAGACATGACAAAAGAGACATGTAAAGCCTCTTTGATGCGGGCAAAGAAAGTGCGAAACTAGATGCAGCTACAATTTGAGTATCCAGTGTTGTCATTACTTTGAACGGACAACAATATCACGGAGGGAGCACACCAAAGGTATCTTCACCACACAGGCAGCAGTGCTTCCAGTCCCCTCAACCATGGTTGTTTCTCCAGACATGGCGTCGTCCATGCCAAATGATGCTGCTGTGCGAAGGCTGCTGAGGACAGCAATGGGAAGAGTCAGTTCTCTTTTGGACCACTCACTGCAGAGTCCACCTTTCCCTTTGTCAGGGTGGCACATTGCAACACTGATTCATGGTTCTTAAGCCTCAGAAGTCTGATCTTAAGCCTCAGAAGTCTGAAAAGGCACTATATGGCACATTGCAACACTGATTCATGGTTCATACGTATATTTATATTATATATATAATAATATATATAATAATATATATTATAATACATTATATATACAATATATATGATATATATATATATATATGTACTATTACATATTATTTTATATTATATATACACATACATTATATTATATATTACATATTATATACATTATATTATATATTATATATAATATATATATTATTTATATATAATAAAATATAATATAATCTAATGTAATATAATATAATATAATATGATATAATATAATAATATAATATAATTATAATGTAAAATAATACAATGTGTATGTATATATAATTTAATATAATATAATACAATATATTATATGATATAATGTAACATAATATTATATTTTACTATTTAATATAATATAAATATAATATAAATATAATATAAATATAATATAAATATAATATAAATATAATATAAATATAATATGATATAATATGATATAATATTATATTACATTACATTATATTACATTATATTATATTATATTGTATTATATACCATTTATCATTTTTTATTATACTATATATTATATAAAATATATTACATATTATATAATATATATTATATTATATGATATATATATATATATATATTATATTCTAAATTACATATTATATATTATATTTTATATATTATATATTATATATTATATTATATTATATATCATATATTGTATATCTTTTATTAAATATTATATATTATATTATATATCATATATTGTATATCATATTTTAATTATTATATATTATATTATATATTATATATTATATATATTATATATATGGTATATTATATATATATATTTACACATACACATAGACATAGAAATATTATGATATATTATATCATTGTATACACGGTTGCTGCAGATCTCATTGTTCAACAGCTCAGCGTATGATTTTCTCCACAGGAACCACCCGAAGCTGCACCCACGGAGTGCGGCGGCAGCGGAGCTGAAGGCCTTAGGTCTATCAAAGCTTCCGATTTTAGAATGGGTCAGAAACTTAGAGCTTCAGAATGCTTCAGAATGCTTCAGACTATCAACTTTGGTTCCAGAGAAACTCAGCAAAACCCAAAGTTGAGCAAACAGCTACTAGAACCTAGACAACTTCAGGTCAGTCTTGTTTTGGAAGGTTGCTGGTGATGTGTTTAGATGTCATTGAGGTTTTCAAGCCACAATGCATACACAGTTGACATGGTCAAACAGGCTGCTGTGGTGACGACCATTGCAGATGCCAGTGAAAGTACTCAAAGTTCACGCTGGTGTCTAGGAATTGGAGCAGCCTTGGGGCCATTTTGTTGAGATCTCTCCAGAGACAGGCACAGGACATTGGGGGACACTTGCATAATTGCTGTGATGGTGTGGATTGGTCCAAACGCCCCGCAGTTTGTTCCTTCCTTCAGCCAGTCTTACATACATCAAGTGAACAGAGTTTTGGTATCTCCTTTCGCCCAGCTGTACATTCAAACGCAAAGCGTTATTGCAGCACTGGACAAGTCTGTGTGCTTGCTGGACGAATTCAGCAAGCCAAGAGATGCTGCTACATTGCTTCAAGTTCATGAGCGCCTGGTCCTTGTTGTGGACAAAGGCGTCTTTCTACTCGGGCACAGAAGAACTACCTAAATGGGAATAAATGGGAGATCATGAAGAAGCAATTTCTCTGCTTGATGGCAAACAGACTGCTTTCTGTTTGATTGCGTAAAAGAGATTGCAATATCACCCCCATGTCTCTTGAGCGGCATGGCTCATTCTATTTGAGCCTTGGCGTCACTCTAACTTGGCACATTCCTTGTTCTTGTTGTTTAAGAAGCCAACTGAAATTGACACGCCTGCAACCTGAAGTGAACCGTCAGATTCGGGCAACGATCGAGACACCTTCAGAAGCAACTTCATTTGGGGACTGCAACAGCACACATTATACACATTGGCGTTTCCGCGTGGCACAATAGCACTGGCCTCGTGTCGGATTGTGAGAAAAACCTGTGGTTCAGACACACGCACACGGGTTTGCTGTGCAGCACTGCACAATTTCGTTTGCTTGCTGGACAAATTCAGCAAGCCAAGAGATGCTGCTACATTGCTTCAAGTTCATGAGCGCCTGGTCCTTGTTGTGGACAAAGGCGTCTTTCTACTCAGGCACAGAAGAACTACCTAAATGGGAATAAATGGGAGATCATGAAGTCATGAAGAAGCAATTTCTCTGCTTGATGGCAAACAGACCGCTTTCTGTTTGATTGCGTAAAAGAGATTGCAATATCACCCCCATGTCTCTTGAGCGGCATGGCTCATTCTATTTGAGCCTTGGCGTCACTCCAACTTGGCACATTCCTTGTTCTTGTTGTTTAAGAAGCCAACTGAAATTGACACGCCTGCAACCTGAAGTGAACCGTCAGATTCGGGCAACGATCGAGACACCTTCAGAAGCAACTTCATTTGGGGACTGCAACAGCACACATTATACACATTGGCGTTTCCGCGTGGCACAATAGCACTGGCCTCGTGTCGGATTGTGAGAAAAACCTGTGGTTCAGACACACGCACACGGGTTTGCTGTGCAGCACTGCACAATTTCGTTTGCTTGCTGGACAAATTCAGCAAGCCAAGAGATGCTGCTACATTGCTTCAAGTTCATGAGCGCCTGGTCCTTGTTGTGGACAAAGGCGTCTTTCTACTCAGGCACAGAAGAACTACCTAAATGGGAATAAATGGGAGATCATGAAGAAGCAATTTCTCTGCTTGATGGCAAACAGACTGCTTTCTGTTTGATTGCGTAAAAGGGATTGCAATATCACCCCCATGTCTCTTGAGCGGCATGGCTCATTCTATTTGAGCCTTGGCGTCACTCTAACTTGGCACATTCCTTGTTCTTGTTGTTTAAGAAGCCAACTGAAGCTGACATGCTGGCAGTGCGTTTTGATTCATCAGGGATATCAATCTTATACTTCTCGTCTCACTCATCTGACATGTGGCCGAAAACGACAATTCCATGGCAGTTCTACTCCCTTGGTGCTGCTCGTAGGTGCGAAGCCACGCATGGAGGCGCCGTTTTTGGCAGGGAAGTTGATCCTGCTGGAGACCGGAGGCATGTCATTGCTTGGTGGGTTTTAGGTAATTAAGCATCAATGTTATTTTTTGGGAGCGTAACATTGGATACATACATAATCATAATCAATCATCTCTCTCTCTCACTCTCTAGATAAGTATACACCTGTGTACAGATATTATATTGTATATAGATACATGGTACATAGCCAAGCATATGAATCCATATGGTACTTAGTTGGATGAATTATTATAACGACCTCACATCACGACGTCAATGGAATGGTTGGGATTGGGCACAAAAATCGGTGAATGATGTCATGGAGATCCCATGAGATCCAACGGGATCCAGGTGCATCAGCCGCATCAGCCCTTCCAGATGCCTTCAGGTCACCAGGCGATGTCGGCCACTGTTTGACATTTCTCCAGATGATTCCATATGTGCAGCTGCGCTGAAGCGCAGCCAGGTGCCACCCATCTTTGGCTTCCCTCCTGGTGTACAGACCGGATGCCCAGAGTGTTTAAGGTTAAGCATCTTGGAGCTGAACCCAACAGTGTTAGTTGGGTTTGTCATCTTCTGGGAAAAAATACGGTTTACACTGGGAATGGGTGAAAATTCTTGCCCCCAAATGGATGGTTTCATCAAATGTTTCATACTTGAAATGACCAAGGCAAGAGGCACATAGGCCGGTGCCAGCGCGATCGCAGATGCCAGAGGTTGTAGGCAGGGGTTGGCCTCTGTTACTACAGTGGTTGCTTCCCACAAAGTTGGGGGGATAGAATTGAGAATGTTATATAAATTTATATAATGTGTATTGATGTATATTGTATATACCAGTAGCTCAGTAGTACTGCACAAGGCGGTGGTGGAAGTTTCAAAGATAGGAGAACTATAGGAGAGGTGAGTTCTTGTGATTCATCGATGGCAGAGCAAAGTGATGGACCGAAAGGTAGTTGAGGCTCTGAGCCTCTCTAGCTCTCTATCCCTCTCTGTCTCCTTCTCTCCTGCCGACCTACCTGCCTACCTGCCTATCTATGTATCTATCTACCTGTCTATCTATCTATCTATCCATCCATCTATCTATCTATCTATCTAATCTAGTCTAACCTAACCTAGCCTAACCTAATCTAATCTAAGCTAATTTAATCTATCTATCTATCAATCTCACCATCTGTCTGCCTGTCCGTCCGTCCGTCCATCTATCTATCTATCTATCTATCTATCGATCTATCGATCTATCGATCTATCGATCTATCGATCTATCGATCTATCGATCTATCGATCTATCTATCTATCTATCTATCTCTATCTGTCTGTCTGTCTGTCTATCTGTCTATCTGTCTATCTGTCTATCTGTCTATCTGTCTGTCTATCTGTCAATCTGTCAATCCGCGTAACTATCTGACCATCTGCCTATCTCTCTATTTATCTATTTATCTACTTATCTTTCTATATGTCTATCTGTCTACCTGTCTACGTGTCTATCTGTCTGCCTGTCTATCTCTCTATCTGTCTATCTGTCTACTTGTCTATCTCTCTAAGTCTATCTATTTATTTATCTATCTCTCTCTCTCACTCACTCACTATCTAGCTAACTAACTACCTATCTGTCTGTCTGTCTGTCTCTCTGTCTCTCTGTCTGTCTGAAAGGATTCTGCCCGACTTCCTTCAAAAGCGGAAGGTGACAGGTCCAAAGCGAAGCAAGTCTGCGAGACTTCCTGATGTGTTGAACTTGACATCATCAACAAGGAAGCAATTCTGCCAGACCCTCTCAATTTTTGAATTTGACAACGTCAAAAACGAAGCAATTCTGCGAGACTTCCTTCAAAATGGACAGTTGGGTGCAGAGCTGCCGGCCTCGTGCCAGAGCGTTTTGTGATTTTTCCATGCCATCTATCTAAAGTACTGCGCTTGCCACAAAAAACTAAGGCCAGGTCATACGAAGTGCTGCGCCTGTCATGAAAAATCATCTTAGCAAACCTGCAGATTTGATGCTCCAAAATGCAACCCCTCCAGGAAATCAGCGCCCTGACCTACTAACATCTCTAATGCCACGCCAAACGCGCCACAACGGCGTTCACTTTTTCGACATCTTAACTTCCAAAAGTGGTCCGGACGTGTAGACATAGATAAGATGAAGAAAAGACACGTGCACACATTGCAGTGGAGTTTCTACATACATATTCCGTTCTATAAGTGTGTGTGTATATACATATATATATATGTATATATTGTATACCATGGGACCATGTGCTTGCCATGCCAACGTCGCGTCGCCACATCTGAGCCCCAGGGCCTGGCCCGGAAACCATCCGCCTGGCCGAGCTCGACGTCGAGGAGAAGGCGGTTCTACAGGAAGTCCTCTCTTTGGATCGCGCGGATCTGAGTTTTCTAAGGAAAAACAGGTGGTACATATAGAAAGAGCAGATTTGGATCATTTTGATAGGTATATATGAGTGATGTATCTTTGCGCTGGTCAAGATAATAACGATTTTGGTGACAAGCAACAATCCTATGTTGCATGCGTTGCCGTATCACAGAGACCCTGCGTGCCGAGGTGGAAGAGACAACGTACCAGCTGGCACCCAAGAGACTGTTGCGTCCTGTATCGTTTTAATGATCAAAACTTAGTGAGAACACATCAGATTCGACGCACTTCCAAAAGAACTCAGATGGCAGCTCTGAAGACTTTCAGGAGAATGGGCATGGGGTGCCGTAATATATTGTGCAAGAGGCTGCATTCTGAATGTTTTTCACGGTGAATTGCTACGTTGCTGCTATATTTTCAGGGTGGGGCTGCTACATTACTGCTTTGTCTTCAGGGTCGGTTTGCTACGTTAGTGCTAAGTTTTCAATGTGGAGTTGCTACGTTCATGTTATGTTTTCAGGGTGGGGTATCTGCGTTGCTGAAAAGTTTTCAGGGTGAGGTTGCTACGTTCCTGCTATGTTTTTTTTCAGGTGGGGCTGCTACCTTGCTGCTATGTTTTCAGGATCGGAACTGCTACGTTACCGCTATGTTTTTCAGGGTGGGGCTGCTACGTTGCTGCTAAATTTTCAGGGTGGGGTCGCAACGTTCATGTTACGTTTTCAGGGTGCGGTTGCTGCGTTGCTGCAACGTTTTCAGGGTCGGAATTGCCACGTGACGGCTATGTTTTCAGGGTCGGCTTGCTATGTTACTGCAACCCCACCTGCATTGTTTGTTTTCAGGGTGGGGTTGCTATGTTACTGCTATGTTGTCAGGGTGGGGCCCACCGGGTGGGGTTGCTGCGTTACTGCTATGTCTTCAGGGTCGGGGTGCTACGTTCCTGCTATAATTATATGTTTTCAGGGTTTTCAGGACTGCAAACGGTCCTCCGAGCAATGCAGCTGTACAGAAAAGCATGTTCCAACGGAATCGTGTGAACTAGCGGTGCAGATTGCTATGACCCAAAGAAGCTGCCGTGGCTGAGATGAGGAAAAATGACGGCCTGCATACATATATGTACATGTATATATTTATATATACATGTATATATATATATTTATGTATATATAAATGTACATATATATACACACATGTATTTATATATACATATATATATATACACATGTATATATACACACATGTATATATATATATACACATGTATTTATATATATACATATATATATATACATTGTTATTTATGTATGTATATGTATATATATATACATATATATATATTGTTATTTATGTATGTATATGTATATATATATATAATATATACATTGTTTTTATGTATGTATATGTATATATATATATATAAATGTTGACATATATATATATGTGTGTGTGTTTGTGTGTAAATTTTACATATAATATGTACATATATACATACATCTGTATATATATATATGTATATATATATATATGTGTGTACAAAAATTTACATATTATATATATATATATGTACATATAACTGTAAATGTACAGATATGTGTATGTAAATGTGTGTAAATAAGCAAAGAAAGAATATATATATATATGTGTGTTTACATTTATATAGATGTATATATGTATATCAATTTTTGCGTGTGTTTAAATTTGTGTATATATATATATACATTTACATATGTGTATATGTTCACTAGTTCACAAATGTTTTAAGTATATATATATATACACATATATATATATATGTATAAATATATAAATATAAGTGTATATATATATATGTGTGCCTATGTATATACAAATTTAACCATGGTATCCATGATTTGAATACTATTTCGGCACAGCTTCGCTGAATGTTAGTAGTTGAGGTGCCCCAGCCACCTCGAGATGCACCAGCCCCTGGTGGCAGAAGGCTGCCAAATTGACTTTGTTTTGAAATGACTGAAGCCTTTGAAGAAACCGCAGAAACATATCTCAAATTTCACAAGACTTCACACAATGTATGTAGATTTGATATGCAAGTATATATTTATGTATACACGTATATGTATATACACTCATGAATCAATGCATTTCAGCTTGGACATGGGTTCTGGATTCACAAAACAACTAGTGGAAACTCAGCAGAGCGGCCATCCACTGGTAGGAGGCAACTTCGACCAGCCGGCCATGAGGAGGCCGGGCGATCCAGCAAATCACCCTCCAAAAAAACCTTTCCATCACACTGGGGAACTGGTAACATATATTACATCATTATCATTACTGTTACTGTTATTGTTATTGTCATTGTTATTGTTACTGTTATTGTTATTGTTACTGTTATTGTCATTGTTATTGTCATTATCATTCTTATTTTTACATTTATCATTATCATCCAGTTTCCAGTAAATCGCAGATAGGATATGCCATGCCATGGGTCGCCGGACTCTTTGAAACATTTCATGACAGAAACCAGTGCTTCGTGAGAGGAACCTGGAGGCACACCGCCAGCACCAATTGTGCCAAAGGCAGGACATGTGAAAGACGTGTTTTAAGGCAGTTGTGAGCACGCAAAAAATCGGTTGAGTGTCAAATCAAACGGAAAAAAAGGTTAATGATGATATTTAGAGTGTATATATATATATATATCTATTTACTGTATTTATTAATTTTATATCTACTATATTTTTAGTATAATATATATATGGTATTTGCTTGGCATGTGCTTTGTGGTCGAATCTGGACTGGATCCATCGGTGGTTGTCCCTACGACACTTTGGCTGAGGTGGCACCCCCAAAGCACGGCAGGGCACCACCTCCTCGACCACAGCGCGTGAGGTAGCGCGGCGCTTGAGGAATTGCAGTTCCTTTCAGCTCTGGCAGTGGGTCAAAGAGTCGGAGATGGAAACCATGAGCTAAGAGTGCATGTTTATTTTCTGGAGTGATTTGTAGCTTTGTGATTTGTGTTTCTCTGATCCAATAGGAGCTGAAACTTGAATCGCAGATTGGGTATGGCCAGTTTGCATCATTTTTTTTCGTTGTCACCGAAGGTGATGCCGAGAGTCAGAAGTCATCCAAACGGATCTTGGGCAAATGCAGTAGGAGACATTGAGCCGATGAAGGAACCCGAAAAATGAATCATCCGGAGTTCTCCATCGTGAGAGTTTGCATGGCAGTAGGTCGAAAAGAGGAGAGAAACTGCGGCTGGGGCAGCCACAGGGATTACTTATTCATACTTATTCTATGTTACTTTATTTCATTATCTGGTATTACTTATGTTTTCTTAAACTAATACATCTTTGTGCACATTCCAAAGTGTCATTTCTTTGAGTTTCGGATGGCCCTTTGGGTTTCCAGCTCGTCCTCGATGCCAAGTGGCTCAGGTTTCCACTGAGACTGATCTGAACAGAAGATTTGACATACCACCACCAAATATGACCACCAAATATGACCAGGCGAATGAAAGCAGTTGTGGCTGTAATGCGCTGTTAAATCTGGCCCACTAGCAACTGAGGAGGTGATTCCTTCGGAAAGGTTCCAAGAGTTTGCGGCAGCTAGAGATCCAGAGGGCCGCTGTAAACCAGAAGACACGAAGCGAGTTGGGCTTCAGGATGCCCCCCCCCCAAAAAAAAGCAACAACAACAATGTGATGCAGAAGGCAACATTTGGCTCCCTTCAAAACTCCAAAAGTTTGAAGTCGTCCTGTAGACAGAGTGTCACTGCTCCAAAATCAGTGAATTTGCGCAGCCCTCGTTGAAACGTCGGGGTAAAGGCCTAGGTGGCGATGGCTACCGTTGGCGAGCCGACGGATGGCGAGGCCAGGTCAGAATGCGAGGGTCTTCCATGAAAGTATAGGGTACAACAAGCTCGGTATAGCCCAGGTATAGCTAGATGTTTTATTTGGGGTACCAATTTCAGAAAAGCCCTTTTTACATTTTTTACGAATTTTCATAGTTTATCACTAAGGTTTGGAAGGCCCATATGAAAAAAACTGAGGCTTCTTAAATGGGTTGACACACTCGTGCACCCATGGGGCCATGGGGATGGCGATGGTTGGACTCGTTGGACAGGCACTGATTCCTGGAGCTGAGGCTGCTGAGGTGAAACCGACTGGAATTACTGGCCATTATTTGGTGAGATTTGTCACTGCGACTGGGGAAGCTTAGCAGCTTTTTTTGTTCGGGGTCTAGAACTGATGGGATGAAGACATGTTGTTTCAGAATCGAAGTCACATCACAAAAGCTCCAGACTTCCAGAAGGTTCCAGGTTTCGGCTTCAAGGTGGTGACTCAAACCGCGCTTCGCCGATGTGAAATCTTCATTTATCTTCATTATATAATCCAATTTTAAACCTGGATCCTTGCTTTTCAATTTTCTTGATTCATTTCATGTGTCTCGCTTGCACATACTTCTCAGCCAAAAAACAAGTAGTTGAACAGAGTTGACAGCACCTTTTATTGCCCCGCAATCAGTCACTCCATTTTTCTCGGATCAGTCAATCAACGGGGCATTCAAGTCTTTCTTCCGCGTTCACCTGTAGTTGTGTCCTTCTGCATGACGGCCTATGAACAGACAACAAGGTTTCTATGCAAGAGTTACATGTCTTGTGACTATGTGTAATATGTGTAATGTATACCTCCGCCTGCACATATTCTCCAGTGTTTTAGCTTCAAATCACAAGGTCACCAGCTCACTTCTATCCCAATGAGTTCTGTCGATACGTGGAACACATTTGTCTTGTACTACCTGTTAGCCTGTTGGGACATCTTCCTCGATATTTTATCAATCACCGCTTAAGCTGTAAAACTGTCTGGAAACTTGAGCCGTTTCCCCAGTCTGTTCCAGCGCAGCAGCACCAGGCAGCAGCCCAAGCTCAAGTTGCAGACTCAGTACTCTCGGTACTGCTGAAAGTGGGCGGTTCAGCGATGTTTAGGGATCAGATTGGATCAGTATGTGTTGGTTTTGGTTTTGGATGGATCCCAAGAAAAATGAATGGTGCAATGGTGCAAGACTCAGAAGGCCTGGCTTCCTGGATCAGTTGCACGATTCAATCCTGACACTATGCAGGTTGCGGATGAAGCAGGATTAGAACTGGAGCGCCAAGAGATACTGGCTGCTCAGGTGCCGAATGCCGCCATAGCCATGGCCGTTTTTGATGGTTTTTTTTGGTGCTCAATATATGTCAGAGGTCGTAATCAATAGATGTCAGCTATATGGGCCAAACATATATGTCAGTATATAGCAATATATGAATAATATATGTCATATATTAGTGCAAGCAGTACTGCTGATGGGCTCAACTCATTGTGATCCCAGTGATCCCAGTGATCGACGCTGGCAGGGTCCGGTGCTGCACATGGCCTGCGCCATGTGTTTCTCAGTGGAGCTTTGGTGGTGGACCGTGGAGGGTTTGTGGATGTTTGTGGAGCTTTGGAAACCAGCCTGCGGAAGCCGAGGTTTATTTGCAACGCTTCTGTGCATAATGACCGTCGCCAGCATAGGTCTCCTTGCCTGGTGTCTCAGAGATGTGCTGCAGCACATTTTTGAACAGCAAGGGTTGGACCTGAAGAGTACTATCTGCGGTTCAGTCACAGAACTTGTTCAACAAATGGCAACAAATTGTAATCCCATTTGATTTCCCTACAAGCTGTGCCATCCCGTGCCCTTGAGGTGTATTTGGCCTATGAATACTCCAAACATAGCACGGACAATTGTGATGTGCCATTGCAGCTTTGGGTGCAGGTGCATTGTGTCGTTTTTTCAAACATGCTGAAACAGAGATTGGTTACAGTGCTTGCAGCACCACACCAAGATGGAGGAAATCATTGTTGTGTTGTCAAGAAAGCTCAAACGACACCAGGAACCGCGATCAAGGATATTTTTTGACCTTTAAAGTCAGAGTTTCCAAGTCTATTTTGGAGCTTGTTAATTCATGTCACTTCAGTCTCTTGCGCAGGTTGTTTCATTAACTGCACTCTTCAATTTGGCGTGTAACCAACATGATCGGCCACTTGGCCGCAAAGTGACTGGGCAATTTGACTGTCAAGTGGCTTCATCATGTGGCTACGAGTGATTTGTTGCCCTAAGGTATGGCACCTTAGGTGCCAGGACCGGTGGGGCATCTTTGGATTTCGAAGGTGAAGGAATAGGTGGTGCTTATTGGTGCTTGGCATTCAGCTGACCAGGGTACTAGTCTTGAAATGTCTTGAAATGTCTTGAATATTCATGTACATCCTGACTTGAAACTTGAACCCGACCTTTCAGAAATTCAGAAATTCCATTGAATTTTTCATCGGCCAGTTGACTGGTGGCAGGATCTTCTGCGGCTGGTCCTTCGACCCGGAGAATCCTGAACGTCCCCCGTTCAGGCCATGAGGGGCTGACAGGGCCTGACCAAAACGAGTGGCTGCTGGCAGCATAGAAAGGATATGAACGGATTGAAGGCTTCGGTTCTGAGTGGGTTCTGAAGGCTGACTGTAGAAGTATAAAATTTCTGTAACTTCTGTGCCTAACCTGCCAGATTTAAAGTGACACTTTCATTAGTGAGTCTGCCTGACCTTGCTGCACATAGATGTGAGAAACTTGAGCGTAGGTCTCTGCCTTGTGTACACTTGCAAAACAGGATGGAGTGTAAACTGTGACTACTGTCCTGGTTGTTTAGATTGAAGTTGCTCATTGAAGACTTTGGTGATCTCGACAGAATCTCAACCCCCATGTGGAATGTCACAGCCCAACCTCGAGTCTCCAGTGAGAGTCTCCGCGACAGGGTGCAGTTTTACAACATGCTTATTCCTAGCTTTACAGCATTGTGGAACCTTGGGCAGCAGCGCCGAACCTGAAGCCTTTTCGTGATGTGGCTGTGGTCCCGTTGTTGGATCGTCTCTGCTGTAAGGAACTGTGTCGGTCTATACTGGGTCGGAAGCTTATCTGCCCTATCACCGGCAAGGAAGGGGTCGACCAAGTACCAGTGTGAACCCTTCTTCGCTATTGATGCTGTGACTGTCACAGTGACATGATGTGATATGCTGTGACATGTGACATGTTGATACATGTTGTGTTGTTCCATGAGATCTGAGGTGAGCAAAGCGCACGAGCCTAGAGATGGATTCCACCCAGGCACAAGATGACTTTCTCAGGATACTGATATATAGGTATATACTGAATCTTGCTATATACATCTATTATCATCTATATCTATACAATGACCTTCCCAGGATAGGTAAATCATGCTATATACATCTATATACTATATACTATATTCATCTATTTACATATATATATATACATATACTGATGATTGACGGCAGAGAAGCGACCATTTTCCTTGAAGCCATTGGATTCTGTGCCTTTCCTCCTTGGAGTTTCTGTGTAGAGGTGGCAATAGCACGGTGCACCTGCCGGAGGAAAAGATTTCGCGTTGTACTGAGGCGGGAGAGATGGCTTCGTGCATTGGTCGGGAATATCAACCACGGCTGGGTGGTTGGAATGATGGAAAAAAAACCCATAGAATCCCCTATAAATGGAGGCTTTAATGGGAAATAATGGGAACATAAATTACCATGATTACCACAGGGTAGATGCTATTGTCATCTTTTGTCATACTTCGCTTGTCAGGTTGCCGCAGGCTTATTGTCGGCTGTACGTGCATATGTGCCTTGGACAAAACAGCACTGGTGGCAAAAAATCAGCTGAGCAACCAAGTGTTGTTTTCAAATGTTTTCAAAGGTTGCAGCCAAGTTGTAGCTACTGCTTCTCAAATCTTTGGTTTTTGGATGTATTTGGAAGGCATTGATGGCACATTTATGGCACATTTATGGCATATTTTTCAGTTTTTGTTTTGGTGTTTTCGTTGCACCAGGCGGGCTTCAACCTGATGTATTCCATGTTCATCCTCATCGGGGTGGCGGGCCTCTCCCAACTGCTGTACTTCCTGGCCAGGAGAGGTTTCTTTCGCGTCAGTCGCTGGGCAGAAGTGCAAGCTATTCCCCCCGCATCAGTCGATATCAGTCCATATCAGTCCATATCAGTCCAGAAAATTCAACAGAATTCCACATAATTTCACACAAATTAGCATCAGAATTGATTCGAATGTTTCATTCTATCAATCCATGATTTTCCTCATCCATCAATCCATCGATCCTGCATTTCCATTTGCGTTTGAGGTGATGCGGCGCCCCCCGGCAGCTTGGAACGAAACACGGAGGTGGGACCAGGGATGGTGGAGCCGAGTGGCAGTTGGGAAGTACAGTTATACAAGTTATATAAGGCTGGGACTTGGATTGGCTGATTTTTTAGATTTTTGTCGTATTTTAGCAGCTTTTTTCACAATCCCTTCACCAAGACTTTAACAGACTTTAACATATCTAAGCACCATTTTTTATCCATTTTTACCAGCAAATCAACATCAATTCAATGAGCATTTTGCATAGGGGATGCCTATGGAAAATGCCTCAATGAAGAACCCATGGCCTGCCCACAACGGAACTGGCCTGCCGTCGTTGATCGTCAGGAAGTGGGCTTGGACGATCCCGCCATCGTGGACCATCCGCAGTGCCCTATCTGCCTAGAGGACGACCCGATGACGGGATGGAAAAAAGGCGGTATGGCCGCCATGTGAAAAGTGTGAAAAGTATACGTGGCGAATAGGAATGCGACATGTGGCGGAAAAAAAGGGCCTGGTCCAAATATCTATTTTAGCTTTAAAACCCATTGAAGCAGAATTTCTCATGTTTGATCAGTGCCAGGACTTTGGTGAGAATGAAGTCCTGGTGAAGACGTGGCTTGACATGGTCACATTTTGATTATGTCTTGATGGCAGAAATTTTTCGTGGGCTCCGGGTTGATGGACTTGGATTGTTTGGTTGGACTTGGATTTGCTTTGAGAACACATAAAGCACATACGCATTCCATGAGATGAATGGACTTATGGAATGATTCAGGAGGAACACGCAGATATCCATGCGTATCCATGTCTCAGAACTCGCTGAGCGAATTTTGGATCGCCAAAGCAAGCATGGTCTCTGTGTCAATTCAGAGTGCCTCCCCCATTGAAAGCATCAGCTCTGTCTTTGGAGTGATCTAATCAATCTATATATATATATACACAATTATATATATAATTATATATATATATACACATACTAATTTGGTGCATGTCTTCAAAGGGATGGCACATTGCCTGTTCCAAGGAAGGGCTGTGGCCACGTTTTTCACAAGGCCAAGATGGACTTTTCGAAGAAGTTCACGCTGAGAAACTGAGTGGATGTGATAAGAAGTCAGCGACAGTGGATGATCCGCCCTGTTTTTTCATATGCGGATTGCAATTGCCAAATGGACAGGAACATCTTCAAGATTGGCTGCAAATGCACAGGACATCTGCGCTTTGAAACCTCATACTTCATCCTTTCAAGCATCCATCGAAGTCATGTGTTGCCCTTTTTTCTTGTTGGAAAGGAGTCCTATGATGATTTCCATGATGATTGTGTGATGGTTCTGTGATGAAACACGATGTCTCGATATCATGGAAGTACTGCTTGGCGTGGTTTATCATTCTCTTTACCACATTTCATGACATTTCATGACATTTCATGACATTTCATGACATTTCATGACATTTCATGACATTTCATGACATTTCATGACTGTCATCAGCTATGGCAGCTATGAGAATCCCCACGGTGATTCCATAATGATTCGATGTCAGGACTTGCCCGCTCTGTCGCTTCGATTTAGGTCGCAGAAGCAGTGCCTAGCGGCAACTCCAGCGGGTACGCCAAGGGGCCCACGAGTTGGGTCAAGGGTTTTTGGCATTGAACCAGATACACACACGCATATGCCGCATATGTATATAATATGTATATAATGATATATAATGCAACCATATTCTCACAAAATTGATGGTAAAAAGGTGGTTCAAGAACTTTTCGTGTCTTTTTGCTCAGCTATACAACCTTTGATGAGCATTTATTTTCTGCGAGCGATCTGCAGGCAGCTGATCTTGTTTCACAAGCTAGCTTGGTGAGTCGCGATGGGGTCGGGAGTGCCAATGCTTTGATGACTCGCTTGAGGGAGAAACCTAATTTGCTTTTGCATTTTTTGCAGAGATTGTGTAGTAAACGGACCTTTGACGTTGTTTGCCCAGCTTCCAAAAGAATCTCACGACCAGGGAGTCAGCTTGGCACTTGCGGAAAGAAACTCTCGATTCCGGTGTCTCACCGATGTGCACATCAGCAATAGATCGCAACTTCGATCGATCGTTCGCAAGCTGAGACCGAAGGTTTGTAGATCCCATTGGCAAGCCTGTTTGTGTGGGTCAAACTAGAGCGTAGAATAGCGGCATAGATATCTCATGATATCTTTTGTCCCATGTTTGGATCAATCAAAGAGCTCGTGAATCGAACCTTTGGCCAATTTTCACATCAGCCAGTTCCTTGGAACACGAAAAGAACTCCAGAGGATGCGTGGAAATGTAGGGCCGACAACAGCTGATGAGGATCTATGTAGACGCTGGGTGCTCTCATCAGGGCAAGATTCCTGAACTAAAATGACTTTGGATCAGAACATGCTGATAGCAGCATTGAGATGCGTTGAGGGGTTTCAGCAATGTTGCAGGACTCGAGCAGTTCCTTATGAGTTCCTTATGTGCCCAGTCATGGCATCGCCCGCAGGAATGGCAAATGAAGCCTGCAAGTGCTCCCAGTCCGACTGCAAGGCACTTGTTGCTGGTCACCGGCATGCTGTGTAGTCAGTACCTCGCCATGGCATGCCTTTTAGAACATCGCCAGGTCAGCCGTTCGGCACCTAGCAGGGGAAGTGTCAACCGTCTGAAACGAGCTGATGAGAATAGAGCGTGTTTGTTTCGTTCCAATCCCGTGTAACAATAGGCACGCATTCTTTTTAATCACCTTTTCACTATGGCTTGTGCCTGCATTACGCGGATTGTTTTGCATCAGACTCGGTCAGAAGACATCCGAAGCATATGCTACACTGCTACACGCGATTCCATGCAGAATCTGTCTGTCACCAACAAAATATGATTGATACTTCAAACAGACCCATGTGCTGCAAGTGGTAGCTGGGTAACAGGGGCAACATAAACAGTCTTGAATTCCCGCCAGGTGCGGTACTCCATAAACACAGAGTCATTTCTTGAACAGTTACTGTACAGTAGCTGTCTAGATTCTATCTGGCAGAAACGTCGATGGCTTTTGTTAAAATAGGCACTAGCAGACAGGCAGCCCGCACCGCAACAAAAACAGAAAGTTGACCTTGCATTCACAAACATTCACAAATCCCAGCATCTTCTAATCTATGACCTAGTCTGAGCCATGAACCACTCTGGTCGTCTTCTCTATCCTGCACCAGGCACTGCGCTTCATGCTCTTTATAAGATTCATACATCAAAAATGGATGTTCTCATGACTTGTGACAGAATTTTCATGGCATTTCCAAATAAAAGTCATACGAGCTGTCGATTCTGGTGCTTGAGAAGAGCCTAGGAGTGCGTTTCTCTTCCCTTAAAAGGACACCTGTGTTGAGGTACTGTGCCGCAGGCACCCCTCCTTCCTACTGGGGTGCCTACAGAGGCGGCGCCAACGACGACGCAGTGCCTTGGCAGCACCATCAAAATCAGTGGATATCCAAATGGTAAAAAACAGCCAGGAGATGATCCATTTATTGTTAATTATATATGTAAATATATATTATTATATTACATATGATTATTATCCAGAAATTATATAGGTTATTCTTTATGTGATCCCATAATGATTGGATCATCTGGTTACCCCAATTTTGATCCATTAGATGAATATTAATATAGTACTGCAGATTAATTCAGATTATCCATCTCCATTCTAAAGGGACAATCTTTTTCCGTGGCTTTGAGGACCAGCAACGGCAGTTTGTCGAGTATCCTCTCGCGCAAGAGCCCGCGCAGCCCCAGGAGTCCAAAGAGCGCACCTTCGGCCGCAGTCTGGAAATGGGGTATACTGTATACACCAAAAAATGGCTATTTGATAGGTGAAGTGATGATAACCAGAAGATCTTGCGTGTGTCATATTTTCAGACACACCGATTTGCATATTGCAGAAAACCATACCGTTGATCCCACCGTAGGACCCCCCTATATTTGGACTTAAAACAGAATAAGCAAACGGCGTTTAGTGTCAATTTCCCGTAAACCCATTGAGTTTTGGGCTGTTCCCTGTTGGAGGATCGATCTGATCCAAGTCCTCCCCTGAGGAACGACGAGTCTCGTTCGTGCCCCTCTTAGTGCTCTTAGTGAAGTTGGGACGTAGGATGACGATGACTAAAGGTGCCCCATGGATCCCCCATGGCCTACCAGACCTGGAGCCTTTCTGAGTAGTGCACTGGAACATACTGGAACATCTGGAACTGCCTTTCCGTCACTGTTTTTGAGACCCTTTTTTGAGAGCAGCCAGTCCACACTTTGCCGGGAGTGTTGAAGCTTTGCGCCCACCCCAGCCTCCAGGCCCGCGTTGCAGGTCGGACCGGTGGGAGTCAAGTGGAATTCTGTCCACTGGAGTTCACTGTTCACCATCAGGTATAGTCGCCAGGCATAGCCTCATTTGCTTCAATGATGTTCAATATGGGTGTGTCTGAAAATAGTGTACCCCTAAAACCCAATGGTTAATGATCATTATCCCTATTAAATGGCTATAATTGGGAATATACCCTATTTTCAGACAAACCCATTTGCTTCAATGATGTTCAACATTGTGGTCACCTTGGATTCGGGAGAACAGGAAGCGCCTCACTGTGACACTGACGTTGCTGTACCATGCTGTACCATAGGAACTGCCACGTATCATGTTGATGACGAGCCTCCTGAGCTGCTCACACAGGCTGTGCCTGGGTGACCTTGTGGTGCTGGATGGGTCTACACGTGCTCAAGAACTAGATGGCCACACTTAGCACATGAGGGATGTGTAGGATGAAAATTGAAGAACAGTCGGGCTATGTCAAGACTCACTTAGCCGGACTTGGCCCAACTTAGCCTGCATTCAAATCAAGCGATGGCAGCAATCTGCGGCAAGCTGACCAGCTTGGCTGGAAGTCCCTAGGATGGTTGCTGTTTTGACATGTGAACACAGGATGACATACACAAACTACCTCGTTGTCAACAACGTTGTTGGCTATGTTAGTCCTGCTTGAAATTGCTAGTGACTGCTAGTGATGGATAGTGGATCCAGATTGACATCTCCTCAAACCAACATGATCAGCGCCTGAGTAGAACGAAACAAGATATTGCCTTGATAGAAGTGTGATTTGTTGTGGACATGTTTGAACACAGCCTAAGATTCCCAAAGAAAAAGATAGGGATCAATCAGTCTTCATCCAGTTTTCATCCAGTTTTCCTCAGTTTTCCGCCAGAGTCTTGGCGCGATGGGCTACATGACAGGACTCCTTGTGGAAGTTGAACCCCATATCTGTGGACGAGGCCATCTTTGAGGTGGGGAGACTCTTGGCGATCGGCCAAAACGACTGCCATCTTCTTTTCTTTCAAAGTCCATCAACATCCATCTAAAATCCATCTAAAATCCATCTAAAATCCATCTAAAATCCACTAGAACCGGTGAAGAACATGTTTTCATATGTTTTTTTTTTTTTAAATTGTGTTCATATATGTTTTCTCTATTCAAACATCTTTCACATATCTTAGAAAACGATTTTTTTTTGAGAAATCCGAGGCTGGAGTGGGACGAACCCAATATAAGCTCCTGCTGATTTGTGGCCTCGCCTTTTGCTCCGACGCTGCTGAGGTGGGCCATGATGGGAGACGGTTGATGGGTCGATGTCTACTAAGTAGCCATTTTTTCCATAGGATTTCATAGGAACAATATAAAAACCATTGGAACAATGATATCATTGGAGTTAAAGTTTGAAGGCACTACATTTTCAGAGAAACCCAAATTGTTAAGTTGTTGATGTTTTAAGATTAGATGTTAACATGATAACATTTACGTTGGACGTGGTATTGTTTTCCCAGCCCATTCGAGAGTGTTGGAAGTTGCTATCCTGCCTTTCAGGTCACATTCCTGTCCTACGTGACTGAAGTCTTGCCTTGATGCCAGTAACAGCTTGTTGTGGCTGTGGTGCGAAGTGGAAATCCTACTGTGAGCCATGGATAGAGATTATAGATTTGTAGATGGAAACTATGGAGGTGTCTCACATTTACAGCAATCCTTGTTTGTTGTACCCATGAACATGCCAAAATGCTTCACAATATGACTGATTTGGCTATTAAGTGACACGTAGTGACACGTCACAAAATTTGCTTGAGGCGCTGTGACTGGGGTCTTACTTCCTACGAGGACCTGAATTTGCACACCAACTCCCTGCTATCGATGCGGCCGGATCGGATTCGACCTTCCGATTTGGCTTGAATTCCTTACCCGAACCACTGCTTTAAGCACTTCATTTGTCCTCTGCAGAATCCCTGAAGGAGTCTCTGATCACTTCAGCGGTCTTTGCTGGGATGGTGGTGGGCGCACCAGTCTGGGGCCGGGATCCTACGAAGAAAGCTGAATTCTTGTCCACAGGTACATGAGGGAGGAACGATTTTGAGAAAGAGGCATGGGTCCTTGGGATAACGTTCCCTTTGCTCTCAAAACATCTTTGGAACTGTGACTGACAAAAAAGCAAGTCTACTCAGACACACACAGAGACTCACGTTTGTCTTAGGTTGGATTGCAGATCACCACGGGCGTCGAAGGCAGGATGTCCGGGACATGCAAGGATGAACCTCTGATTTCATGAGACTAGGCGCCGCTGTCAGTTTCACAAAATGACTAACACATGATACAGTATGACTAGATATGACTGGCGTGAGCTTGCTTATGAGGTCTTTCATCCTGTCATCCACGGTCATTACAATCTTCGGATTTGCAACTGCGCTTAGTGTGGCTCTGAGAAAGCAGTCTTTCTCTGCCTTTCTCCATCATTGTTACACTACTGTTACATATTGTTACAGCGTGCACACTGACTGCTTGGAAATGAGAGCTTTTGTCGTGCTTGGCCGCTTGGCTGTGCTTGGCCTTGAAAACCCC